TCAGGCACCAAGCACACACATGGTACATAGACATGCATGCAGACAGAGCACTTTTGCACATGAAAATAAATCTTTAAAAACTTTTAAAAATAAAGTAACCATTAAAAGAACCTTGAGAAGCCAGGCTTTGGTGGCACATGCCTTTAATCCCAGCACTTGAGAGGCAGAGGCAGGCGGATCTCTGTGAGTTCGAGCCAGCCTGGTCTACAGAGTGAGTTCCAGGACAGGCTCCAAAGCTACACAGAGAAACACTGTCTCAAAAAACCAAAAATAAAATGAAATAAAGACACTTGAGGACTAAGGAATGAATGAGCTCAGCTGGACAAGCCCCCTGCCTTGCAAGCCCCAGAACCCATGAAAAAATACTGGGTTTGGCAATGAATGCTTGTGATCCCCGGGCCGGAGAGGTAGAGACAGAGCTTTACTGGCCAGCCAGCGTAACCTAATTGGTGAGGTGAAGCCAGTGAGAGACCTTGCCTGAAAGGAAGTGAACAACATTCAGAAAAATGACAACTGAGGTTGTCCTCTGGCCTTTGTCTGCATATACACACAGGTGGACTCCCCCCCTCCACGTACACATACACATACTTTTAAAACATATAGGAGGGAGTGAGGAGATAGATCAGCTGTTAGAAGTATGACTGTAACAAGAAGTCTTTCCGACAAGCCGCCTGAGCCCTGCTGCCACGTGGGTGCTTCCCCCAGGCAGCCCAAGTTCCGCCCACTGCCACGTTAAGGTCCCAATTAACACACAGAGACTTATATTAGGTATAAATGCTGCTTGGCCAATGACTAGGATTTTTCATCTGCTAGCTCAGTCTTAATTATCATAAATCTATATATTTTATAAGACTTATCTTATCAGATGCCAGCAGTAAGTATCCTGTCTTCCTGGGCTCACATGCGACTCTGCGCCTTCTCCTACCTTTCCCAGAATCCTCCTTGACTCCTAGTACCACCTATCTTGTTTTCCTATTGGCCAACAGTACTTTATTTATCAACCAATAAGACAAACACATACACAGAAGGACCTCCCCCATCATATCCTCTTTTCTGTCTAAATAAAAAGAAGGGTAACTTATCTTTTATAGTAACTGAAGAAAACTATAACCATAACTATTTGTCTTCAACACCATCAAAGACCACAGAAGGATAATATATAAACTCTAGAACTGACAGAGACATCTTGCTGCCTGGACAGTCACCCAAAGTTCCTCTGTAACGTTGGGGCATCCATCTTCAGCCTATAGGTCACAGTGTGTCTGGCACACTTCTCCATTTCAGCAGGAACCCTTCAGTACTATCTAGTTTTGTAAGTTCAGCAGTCACTTTTTTTTCCCCAGTTCCTTCCTCTGCCCACTTTCTTGTGGGTCCTGTATGTCCAATTTATATAGCAACAAACAGTCCAGGCAAGAGCATTTTCTTGCCCAAATGGCTAATCTTGCCATGTTGAAGGTAAACTCCATAACGAGTTTCTTCAATGCCCAGCCTTCTTTCTGACGTAATTGATGTGCCAGGAGCAGTTGTGTCTCACTGTCAAGAAAACCCTAACCCATTTAAATGGCATGTAAATTAATTATGCATATCATTTTAAAAGATCTGTATAAACACAGTACCTAAACAAGAGGAGACATATACATATCACAAAATTGATGTTAAAGTCGTATCAATAAATGACATTGACTCCTAGTCCCACCTATCTTGCTTTCCTATTGGCCAACAGTACTTTATTTATCAACCAATAAGACAAACATATACACAGAAGGACCTCCCCCATTATATGACTGCTCTTGCAGAGGACCCAGGTTGATTGCCAGCACCCACACTGAGTGGCTCATAACCACCAGTAACTCCAGCTTCAAAGACTCTGGTCCCCAATTCTGGCTCCAGTGAACACTGCACTGCTTTACACATACACAGACATGCATACACACAATTAAAAAAGAAAAGAAATTTTTTAGCAAATAAAAGAATTAGGCATTTTTGAAGACATTAAGAAAATTCATGATAAATTTTTTAGTCTTGATAATGGTTTTGCTGTTTTAGAATATTTTTGTTAATGTGTGAGTATATGATGTGTATGAGTATGGGCCCACACGTGGAGGTCAGGGGACAATTGTGGAGAGTCAGTTCTCTGGCTCCACCTTTACCTGGTTCTGGGAATCCAGCTTGTCAATCTTGTTTTGTTTTGTCTTTTATTTTTGTTTTGTTTTGTTTTGTTTTCCGAGACAGGGCTTCTCTGTAGCTTTGGAGGCTGTCCTGGCACTCACTCTGTAGACTGGGCTGGCCTCGAAATCAGAGATCTGCCTGCCTCTGGGATCAAAGGCGTGGGCTACCATGGACCCGCAAGGTTGTCAGTCTTGTATAGCAAGCATTTTACCTGCCAAGCCAAATGAATTGATGTGTTTCCAAATTTATCTGCATAGTTGGAATCATCTGGCAATCTTGAATACTGCTGATGTTTATTTATGTCCCGCTGTTATGATTTTAGAGTGGATATGGGCTTTGGGACTCAAAACACACACCCAGGTGACACTAAAAGTGCACACGTGTTTGAAAAAAACACTAATCCTAGTTCACTGAAAAGAACTGCAGCTGCTTGCGAGGCAGAATCTCAAATGGCCTTGCACCCAGGCCAGGGGCATACAGCACTTCTGCACTAAAGTGGCCCAGCTAGGTGTGCAGACACCAGGCCTTGCCTGGAGAAGGGAGCTCTGTGCACAGCTCTTAAAGGAACAGAGAGCCAGTTACTCACTTGTAAGCCACGGTTTGTTTTTCCAAGTGCATAGAAGGACTTTATTTACTCAGAATGGTCTTCAATATTCGAACTTAGGGTGGAATTGTTTAATTTGAGACATCCCATAAGAACGATCCTGGGAACTTGAGCAGGTGGCAGGCAGAGGCTGCTGAACTAGACAAATGTGAGTGGGACACTATTTTTATTTTCTACAGAAGGGGACCATTTGGTGCCATGCACTGCCCTGGGTGTCAGCAAACACTCATTTGAGCTTGCCTGGCTTCCTTGTCTGCAGTCATTTTTGTTCTGATCACAGTGTCTTCAGCTTCTCCACAGTGTCCTTCCCAAGTCTGATGCCCAAGGGCAGAACCCACAGACAAAGGGTCCATGGAGCAGCAGCCTGTAGCTTCAACCCGGTTGTGTTCTGGTAAATGCTGGTGCTTTCCTGAAGTGTCAGTCTGGAGACAGAGAGGGAAGCACCTACAATATGAGGCTGTATTTTACACCATTAGCTTTTTACTTTGAGCACTGGGAGTTGAACCCAGGGCTTCTCACGCACTGCTCAGCTACATCCCCAGCACTGCTGGGAATGCCTGATTACTGGAAAGCAAATCACTCCCCCGGTCTCTGCAGACATGTTGTTTCCCAGATCCATTTGGACTTGCTGCTTGCCTTAGGTATTTCAGGCGGCCTGGCATGCACTGGTAGATAGACAACAGGAGGTGATCCCAGTTCAGTGAGGAGGTTGAGAGGGTGTGTGTTTGTTACAAAAATACTGCCCTTTGCAGTATTTCAGGACTGCAGAAATCCAAACCTTCACTTTATACCTCAAGATCATGGGGCCCAGAGAAGTTTCCTGAGACTTCATCCCCACCCCCAGCAGACTCTGCTGAGGGATTGAAACCAGGTGCTATCTGCTTCTGTACCAAGTCACTGCTCTTCTCTTCCTGCCTGGGAATGCTCTGTGGTGCTTACTGGCTCTGCATGTGCTCCTGTGGGATCTGCATGTGCTCCTGTGGAATCTGCATGTGCTCCTGTGGGATCATGGTCTGGACAAAGGCCTGTGTGCTGCGGCACAGGAGACCTTCCGCTGGTCTCAGCTAACCTGTGTATGTCCCTCCTGCCTCTGTTCCCCTCAGGCTTCTCCCACATAGCGGAGATACGCACACTGATAGCCGGGTTTGTCTTTGCTACATAGGCCTAATGTGATGTCCCATAGATGGGAGAGACTCGGGTTTTGAAAATGCTTTGCTACATAGGCCTAATGTGATGTCCCATAGATGGGAGAGACTCGGGGTTTGGACACCAATAAATACTTTTATATACATACATTCTCCCCCATGCACACATATACCCACTGTTTCACATTACTTTCTGGTACAGTGTTGGGGACACAGTAAGCTTTGGGAGTGTTGAATGAAAGGTAATTAAGGAGTATCATTTCTCAGATGGCCACATGCTGAGGCACTTGATTGCTAAGTTGTAAACTGAGCTGCCATGGGTGATTATGGTAGCTGTGGCTGCATTAAACAACAACATGAGTTGTAATCACCATAGCATCAAGATAAATATCACCTCTCTGCATGGGGAGGGGACACACTTGCCTCTGCCTCAGTCTTTCCAGAGGCGACCTTCTAGTCTTGTAGCATCCAGAGTATAAAGGGCTTATGTGGAGCAGATGTATCCCTGTCACTGGCGTGGGCATGCATTTGTCTGTGGACTAGTGGACAGTGGGCTGCCCTTCATGTAGCCTTGTTTTCATGACCAAGGCATTTGTCTGCTGTAAATCATCATTCCCCAGACCTACTGGACTTAGAGTCAAGTGATGCTTCTTTGCCCTGACATTGTGTATGCTGTGACTGTCCTGTGTTCCTGAGTGGCCAGCCATCCTTAGCGCTGTGTGCCTCTGTTCATCTTCTGCTGGATGGAGATACCCCAGCTACAAGTACAATGAAGCACTTCCACCTGCGATTGCTTCCCTGGTTGCTTGTCACTTAGACTATGGCGACTTTTCTCCAATTCTGCCTTAGCCAAGGTGTGGTGTCAGGTGACCCTGCTGTGGTGGTGTCTGCAGAGTCTCCTGAGGTAACACTGTAATGTTCAGACACAGGGCCATTGTACTGTCTTTCTATGATCTTGCTGTTCCATCCTGAATTGTTACATGCCCCAGGCTGGCCTCAGACTCATGGCAGTCCTCCTGCCCCAGCACCTCATGTTTTAACTCTCTTGTTTATGTTTTCTTCTTCCCTCTTCTCCTCCACAGGATGAAGTGTCCTCTTGCTGGCACAAATAAAAGATTCCTAATTAACACAATTAAGAACACCCTGCCCTCCCATAAAGAGCAAGAACATGAACAAAAAGAGGGCAGCAAGGAACCTGGCCAGAGTCAAGACCAGAAAGAGACAAACTCAAAGAAGCACAGAAGCCGCTCGTCTAAGCGCAGCCTGCACTCAGCCCGAGGCTCACCCCCAAGGAAGCGGGCCTCCAGGGACAAGGGGGACCACCGAACCAGCAGGCGATGAGCAAGCTGCAGGGCCAGCCCAGTACTGTGCCTGCCACTGGGTGCAGTGAGGACAGGGAGGTGACAGGACTCTGACACCTGAGAATGACTTTCCAGTGGGTCCTTTGTTTTAAGATGGCTGTTGTTGTGTCATTGTTGTTGTTAACAGGCAAAACAAAACAAAAAACAAAAAAAAACAAAACAAAAACAAACAAAAAAAAAAACTTTTACTAAAACAAGCCCTTGTCCTGAAGGTGTCGTGGAAGATGACTTAGCTTTGCTATGCACATCCATGTTGCTTTATCCTGTCTTGTTTGCAAGTTAATTTCAAAACAAGCAGTTCTAGAATTTGAAATTTTCAGGTTGTTAAAAACTAGTCCCAGTTTTTTTGATGTATTGCACTTTTTGTGGTCATTTCCCAGAATTTCTCAAAATAAAATACTTAGAAATGCTATGCTTTCCTCTTTTAGATGTCAAAGGCTAAGCTCACAGTCTGACTAGTGGCCATCCTGATAAAACTCCACCACGCTGTGTGTTTTCTAAGTGGCCAGGATGAGGAGTGCTCACACAGCTTTGGACTTGATGTTCCATTCTCAAACTCATCCCTTAGACAAGACTGCTTCCTTATACTTACTTTTAAATATACATGGTCTGGAGATGGTGGCTGCTGAGTCTGGAGAATAGGACTATACATGACCAATTACAAGGGAAAAACAGCGAGACTCTTGCACTCCTATAGCATGTGAAGTCCAGTCCATTCATGTTCTCATCCAGTCAGTCAGTCAGTCAGTCAGTGCTCTCTTAGAGAACCAACATGAAAGCAAGCACATGCTAGTGCCACATGAACTATTTCACTACTGCCCAAAAAGCTAGGTTATGTGTGTCTGTCATATTTAAATGTGTGGAGTACTTGTTCAGCACAGCATTTGCCTCGTCTTAAACATTTTGGGGACCCCCCTCCCTCTGGTGTTCCCACCTTCCATATTAGTGAGTTGTCTAGTAAATGGCTATGGATTCTCTCATTTTCATTTTGAAAGGAAAAAAAAAACCCAAGAAACAAAAAACAAAACAAACACACATTTTGGTCCAGTGAGATGACTCAGTGGGTAAATGTGCTTGCCACAAAGCCTGATGACCCGAGTTCAATCTGTAGGACCTACACAGGAGAGAGCCAATTCCTGCAAGCTGACCTATGACCTCTATACACACACTAATTAAAATGTAGTTTTAAAAAACTCTTAAAATTTCAATATAACAAATTCTAATCTGGTGGCTCAAATATGTGCATCTCCAAAATATTACCAAAAGATGTAACAGTAACATCTGAGATGTATTAAATGGGGATTAATGGCAGATGAGACTTTGTATTAAGATGACATAGCAACAGATAATGTCTAGCATAAACTACAGAAAGAAATAATTGGGCTAAAAAAATAGAGGACCAGTGAGCACTGGAGCAAATTCAGATAACCAAATATACTTATAGTTGGTGTCTCTAAAGATAGGAATAAGTTGAGAAAAATATTTGCAGATATATTGACAAAAGTTTTCCAAATATAACAAAATCTAAGTCAAATTGATGGCTTATGTTTCTAATTCTAGCACTTGGACAAATGAGGCAGGATTGTTACAAATTCATGGGCAGCCTGGGCTACATAGCGAGTTCTAGATCTGCCCTGAGCTATAAGTGAGACAAATGTCTCATAACAAAATAAATAATAAAAACTGCAAATGCCCAAACACAAAAAGCTTAACAAACTCTAAGAATATGAAACACAAAGACGTGAAGAAAGTCTCATGATGGATAATCTTCATTGTCAACTCAGTAAACTGAGAAGTGCCCCTCTGTGTATATCTATGAGGGCATCCCCAGATTAAAGGAGGCAGTCCACCATTGATGTGGGCTGTACCATACCATAGCTGAGATCCCAGACAGATGGGGGAAAGGAGAAAACCCACAGAAAGGCATTTCATTTATCCTCATCTCATATTCTGTCTCTGTCTCTGTCTTTCTCTCCCTGAGTGTATGTGTCCTCCCTCCTTAGGTTTCCCTATTTAAATATTATACATCTGAGAATTGCCTCACTCTCGGAGGAACTTGGGCTTACTAACGCTGTTGGAACTGTTAAGACTGTGGAGGCTCTTGTGTATTTTGTGTTTATGAGTCTTTTGGAGGCCAAAGGAGTTTGGTGTCAAGTGGACACAGGTAGACTTGTGGGTCATCAAACTGGATTGTTACAGTGATTGGCTTGAGACGCTCCTGGGAGATCATGGATGCTTACCTCTGGCTTTCTGGATGTTTCCAGAAAGGGTTGACTAAAAGGTGAAGCCTCTCCCTGAATCAGCCCACACGTTAAGGCCCTGGATAGAATAAAAGTGGGAAAAGGTGTTAGTAGTGGTGGTGGCGCACACCTTTAATCCCAGCACTTCAGGAGGCAGAGGCAGGTGGATCTCTGTGAGTACAAGCCCAGCCTGGTCTACAAAGCAAGTTCAAGGACAGCCAGGGAGACACAGAGAAACCCTGTCTTGAAGAAACCAAAACCAAACAAAACAAAAAAGTAGGAAAAGGAGAATTCTGTGGATACAGGCATTTTCTTTCTTCTTCCTGGCTCCCCCGAGACAAGCTCTGCAGCCCCCTTATCCTCCCCATCATAATGAACTGAACTCTGAAACTGATTCAAACAAATCTTTGCTTCCTTACAATTTCTTGTTCAATTATCACATCACTGTGATAAAATGTCTGGTTAACACAGTGACTAAAATTCAAACCTCTTTAAACCACTGGTGACGAGACATGACAAATAGCCAAAAGAAAATACAGTGCATTCAGAAAAAAATAAGGATGTAGGGTGTCATAGCTAGATATGGTGGTTCATACAAGAAATCTCAGGGCTTGGGAAACTGAGACAGGAGGATTACCCTGAGATTGAGGTCAGCCGGAGACATAGTGTAAGTTCCAGGCCAACCTGGCTACCAAGTGAGACCATGTCTTAAGACAAACAGCATGTCATCAGTACAGCAGAAACAGGCAGTGAGACAAGATCACCAATATGTAGAAAGAAAATTACAATTGTCAGCACAGAATTCACCCCAAGAAGAATTTTCTAAAGCAAAATGTCTTTGCTAATGTCCTCATCTTTAGTCCTCTGCATCCCCAGCCCGCAGCCACTGCACACAAAAGGCCTCAAGTGATGGGTTTTCACCACCCAAGAATCAGAGCTCCAAGCACAGCTGCCACCAGCCTGAGCCCCTTGTGACATGTAAGGGAAAGTACTGAGTAGAGCCACAGAGAGGCACTGTAGTCTTGGGATTTTTTTTTTTTTTACATACTTTTTAAGAAGGTACTTTTTAATTACAAAAGTTACACATTGTTTCTATTTCTTAAGAGACGAATAAAAAGACAAATGAGTAGACCATGCTCTTAATTCTTAATATAAAATTTTAAAAGGAACATTCTTGGTACTTTTTTTATAGGCAGGGTCTCATAAGACTGGTCTCAAAGTCTGTAGTTAACAATGACTACACTTGCTGAGTGATGGGATTACAGACATGCACTGCCACACCTGGTTTCTGCAGCGCCGAGAGCTCTGTGCATATAGGTGTCCTACCAGCTGAGGTACATTCCTTCTGCATTGCACTACATATGATTCTGGAGGGTCTAGCTAAGTACCCTAATAACTCAATAAAATTTAGTAATATATCAGAATAGAGTCATTTAAACTCTTGATTTGCCGTTGATATGCTTTTCCATGTACAATACACTGTAGCGTCTTCCAGGACTATTGGCTAAGAACTAAGTAGCTACCAGAACTTTTAAGGAGTTTACTGTGGGAGCCAGGTGTGGTGGCCTGCTCCTTTAATCCCAGAGAGCTCTGTTAGTTCTAAGCCAGCCTAGTCTAAATAGTGAGTTCTAGGGCAGCCAGAGCTACACACAGAGACCCTGAAAACAAAAAAGCCAGTTTACTGTGGGGCTAGACAGATGCTTACAGCAGAGGTTCTCAACCTCTCTAACACTGCAGTCCTTTAATGCAGTTCCTCATGTTGTGGTAAACCCCCCATCATAAAATTATTTTTGTTGCTACTTCATAACTGTAATTTTGCTATTGTTAATGAATCATAATGTAAATATCTGATATGTCACCCCTGTGAAGGGGTTGTTCCACCCCAAAGGGGTTGTGACCCATAGGTTGAAAAACACTGGCTTAGAGGCTGAGAGCACTAGCTGTTCTCTCAGAGGACCTGGGTTTGATTCTCAGCACCCACGTCAGGCAGCTCACAAATGCCTGTAATGACAACTTCAGGAGGATCTGATGCCCCCTTGTGGTCTCCAGAGGCACTGCACACACTGTGCATATATAGACAAAAAGGAACACACAGACATTCCCATCACACACACACACACACACACACACACACACACACACACACCACTCAAGCACATACACAGTAATAATAAATTAGCAAGAAAAGTCAAGCAGTACAGCTCTGTCTTTCAATAACAGTTCCACAGTAATATCTCTCCAAATGTGTGAATTAGAGAGCGGTCGAGATGACTCAGCAGTTAAGAGCACTGGCTGTTCTTCCAGAGAACCTGGGTTCAATTCTCAGTACCCACATTGGATCTGATACCATCTCTGGGCTCCAAGGGCACAAGGCATGTAGTACATAGACATACAAGTAAATCATTCATACAAACAAATAAATCTAAAAAGTATATTTTTTCATTTTTAGTTTTTCAAGACAGGGCTTCTCTGTGGAGCCCTAGCTGTCCTGGAAATTGCTCTGTAGACCAGGCTGGCCTCGAACTCACTGAGATCTGCCTGCCTCTGCCTCTGCCTCCCGAGTGCTGGAATTAAAGGTGTGAGCCACTATGCTCAGCCTAAAAAATATTTTAAGAGTAAATTACATTAAATTGTGAGGAATTTTAAAAGAATATGATAAGATTGTCTAGTGAAATCAAAGTAGATACAAGTTAAGTTGTAATTCGAAGAGGATGCAAATAAACAGCTGGATGCAATAAGAAAGCAATACAGGCTATGGAAACAGGAATTCCATAAAAGGCAAGGCTGAAAATGCAAATTGGAAGTTTGGAAATGAGGGACACAGAAGAAATCTTCAAAAGAATGGAGTAGGTGGGGAGGGACTACAGGTGAGGAAGACCAGTTAGGGGACAACAAAACACACTGAAACCTGTGAGATGCAATGAGAGCAGGCCCGAGAGGGATGTTCACAGCTGTAAGTACCTTCATTAAAAATCAATAGTTTATTTTAGCTGTTAAGGGAGCTAACTTTGAGGTAAACTCTTACTAAACCATCGAAATGTCCTTTTCCTTTGTTTCAGCTAAAGCCTTATAGCAAGCTGAAGAGAAGACTTCTGTCAGCCATTTCATAGTATCTGCAGTATGTGCCCACAGCCTTGAGCTGAGAGCCTGCCTGGAGTCCCAGCTTGGAGGC